GGTGTGCCCATGAACTCCCTGAAATGAGTGGGCAACGTGTGTAGGTGCCTTTTGTTTGCAAGTGGGATTTAAAATGGTCATCAAAGTCTCAAAAGGATCCCGTTCCCCCAAAGGATCAATGTTAATTGTACTCAGTGATAGGCCCAAGGTCACACAGATGCTCAAACTGGGATTTAGTTTTCAGTCCTCTGCTTTCTTATTCAATCATCTTCCTAACATACCTTAAAAAACTAATATTAAACAAAAAAACCCACCTGAAAGCTATTTATATGTCATTTATTCTTTGGAAAAATTCCGTTCGACTAGAGTCTAAGAACACAATTGAAGACTTCTAGCTCTAAGATTTTTATCATAAGTGTTTCAAAATGTATACTTCAAAATTCCTAGACAGTCTTCCCAGCACAAAAGGCACCATTTTTGAATTAGGTAGCAGGGGTGGGGAACCTTTTTTCTGCCAAGGGCTATTTGGATATTTATAACATCATTCACGGACCACACAAAATTATCAACTTAAAAATTAGCCTGCTCTATTTGGTCAGGCTAATTTGGTGAGGTGTGTGATGCTAGCTGGTATTGATGTCAAGGGCCTAATATGGCCCAAGGGCTGGCAGGTCCCCACCCCTGGGCTGTTCAGGCACTACCATTGTGACTTCAAAAGCCGCTACAGGTCTGAGTGTCCTATTGGAGAGTAAAGCAGTCTTGGGCCCGAATGACTCACATATTAGAATTTTGGCTCTGCCACTTACTAATTATTAATTAAAACTAAGTTATGTACGGCCCAGTGTGGCTCAGTGGTTGAGCGTCGACCCATGCACCAAGAGGTCACCGGTTTGATTCCCAGTCAGGGCACATGCCCAGGTTGTGGGCCTGATCCCCAGTGGGGGGCATGCAGTGGGCAGCCAATCGATGTTCTCTTTCATCGATGTTTCTATCTCTTTCTCCCTCTTACTTCCTCTCTCTCTAAAATCAATAAAAAGGGAAAAAAATTTTAAAAACAAAAAAACAAAATTACTTGAATTTTTAGTTTAATAGTTTCCTCATCGGTAAAAACTGAATAATCACAAGTAGCTTTGGAGACTGTTCTGAACACTACAGAAAAAAATCTATACATGCTTTTCTATGCCGTATATAAAACCTATGACATGGTACCTGCCACACAGTAGATGCCCAGATAATCATATCTATAACTCTATTTCTTTGTTGTTGAATTAAAAAGGAGCGGTTTAAATGTTGGCTTTATATTTACACCTGGCCAACAATTTTAAAAATTCCATGTCAATATGGCTTCTAAATTGAAATGTTAATTATAATTCTACTAAAAGAAATAGAGCACCAGCAGCTGTGGAGAGTATACTAGAAGAAAAAACAAAACCCTTCTTATCTAGAACTGGAATAATCAGATTGAATTTTTGCCATGTACGAGACATTATAATAAGTAATGTGTCACTCATGGTTATTCCTTGGTTTATGAGAAGTTAAAGGTACTTAAAAAGAGATCCAGGGTCAGAAGTTCACCTCTGGGATCAGTTAGGGATGGGCCCTACTTCTGCAATGGTAGGACTTCGATGCAGCTGAATCACTGGGGTTCCCCACATGGTGTCACTGCCTCAGAGTAGTTATGCCATAAACTAGGAAATAAAATACTAAAGTGAAATATCTGTGTCCACAGGTTAGTGCCCAGTGATAAAGTGGATTTTTAGGCACAGGTTAAGGCTGGCGTGTGAATCATGCTGAGTTCCTCAGTCACAGTCACAGCCTGTCAGTAGGTAAAGAGCTTGAGGGACGTGGCTGCTGAGCTATGTTACTTAACACTGAGACTCAGGGGCAATTTCCCAGCTGAGCTCCTATGCTTTTCATTTCTACTTTAATAAAAGTACACTTTCTGGACAACTGTAGATTCTGTAAGATTAGGCGTATTTTTATATGCTATCTTGTGCACATAGACATAATTTTTTTAAATAAAGACTAAATAGAAACTAATATCTTACATTATTAAAATAAATCCTATCACCCCTCTTCTTCAGGAATTACTATTTTCTCTTAAAAACTGCTTAAGATGGAAGGGACCCCGATGGTACCTGGATTGGGCAAAAATTCAACTGTGTTTCCATAATGCTTAATCTGTAACTCAACAATGATAAGTATCTTGAATTTATTCTGCATATTTTCCAAGCATAAATGTAATGAGCATAATTTGGAACCATGTCCTGAAATGTCCCTATTTTCAAGGAGTTCGGTAGCACATTGGTGCCCACACAGAAGTCCTGATTTTTAAAAAAGTCCCCTTCCACCGCCCAATGACAGCAGTGTAAACATTCAGTACTCTTATCGAAGAGGACGACCATATGAATCACTGCGGCAACTTCCAGTTCTTTCTTGACTGCTTGTCGAACAACTCTTCAAAGGAAGGGAAGAGTGGTCAGGACCACCGAGAGAACGAGAAGAAAGCACACAACACAACCTTCAACCAAAGTCTTTTACATGATTGCCACAGCAACGCACAACGGGCACGCTAAATTTCATACGTTGTGCGTGAAGTCACTTAACATTGTAACACACATGTAGAATCTGGCCGTGGGCTGTCAAGGTTCCCTTTACAGCAGAACCTCAGCTAGCAGTTCTGTGGTCCCAGCTGCCAGCATTTCTCCCTGGGCTTAAGACACAGGCTGACTGCTTGACCCCTTCAATATCTGCTGGCTAGGGCTTAGTCGAAAATAAAATGCTGTTCATGGCTGTAATCTAGATTAAAGCTCTCTGTATAGCCCCTCGACTTCAATTACACGCTTCTAGCCTTTTGCATAACACTTAAAATGGAAAGACTTTTGGTTTCTAGGTCAGCTCCAGATTTAGGTTGTATTTGTGGGCACAGAGTTATAAAAAAGCAGGTTTTAGTTTGATGCCAGTGTTTTGGCTTTTATACTGTAAAAATAGCATGGGAATAAAATGTACATAGTTTCCGACTATCATAATAAAGTACAAGGAGGACCTGTCCTGTCCTGTACACACACATACTTGACTGTTAGGATGGTGGAAAATAACAGGTTAAGGAGGATGATGACCGAGTGGGCAAAGCTCTGGGACATGGTCGTGTTGCTGGACCTGATGGAGTGAGAACAGGGCTACACATAGCGAAGGCGGACTGACGAGTTCTCCAGCCAACACCAAGCCAATTGCGCCCTCCATTTACATTCATTTACTTAATTTCTATAATTCAGCTTGCTTCACTAAGGAAAACAAGGTTTCTCTATTTGTGACTTGGTTTAATTTCACATTTACTATGGTGAGACAAAAAAATATTGTTTTTTTTTTACATTTTAAAATGGGAAATATGGACATAAAATGTAAATGTAAACTCTATATGCTAACAACCTCAATTACAGTTTCTAAACAGGACTTGAAAGCAGCAGTTACCTGTTTGATACCACCCTGCTTGAACTAGCTTGGTAAAACGTTGAAACACCCGATCGATCAATTTTTTCAGCACCGAAAAAGGCTAACGCTTGAACACCTAGTATCCTTCAGTTGCCTCAGAAAGATGCTATGACATTTTTCCAACATGAAAAATAAAATTGTGAGAGCTCTGTGAAACGTATGTGTGCCACCTGATACCATTCTGAGGGGAGGCTGCAGGTGGGGGTGTGGTGAAATGCTGAAAGACTTTTCCTATTCCCCTCAAACTGGAAATAAATGTAGTGCTTGCCTTTGGTGCTTACTGGGAAAGCTTTTTTTTTTTTAAAGTATTTTTTCTTTATTGATTTTACAGAGAGAGGAAGAGAGAGGGAAGATAGAAACATCGATGAGAGAGAATATTGATTGGCCGCCTCTTGCATGCCCCCAACTGGGGATTGAGCCCACAGCCTGGGCATGTGCCCTGACCAGGAATCGAACCAGTGACCTCTTGCTGCATGGGTCGATGCTCAACCAGTGACACACACCAGCTGGGCTGGGAAAGCTTTTAAACAGAGTCTCACTTTCAAATGAACTCTGGGTTCTGAGGAGGCAGAAAGGACATGGTCAGTTATGAGAGGAAGTAGTGGTCATCAGAGATTTTGGAAGCAGAAAAAAGGAAAATGTTTGAACTGAATGGTTCTCAAAAGGACTGGGTCTGAGGCTGGTGTTACTAAATGTTCCATAAAAATCTGGAAGAGGTTAAGCAGTCACCTTTCAAGTTTGAGAGATCTACTCTGCTCCTCTGGGTGCCGATGAGGATGCACGGGGCATGTGGCATGTGGCGGACCAGGGCAGCTGCTATGACAGAGGGGTGGACTTAAGTGACACTGTAAACTATTTTCTGAGGACAGTAATCCAATGTGCCACCATGGTCAAAAAGACTAACAAAATGCTGAGTGTTAAACATGAGCTTCTAATTGTTCTTGAAATGCCCTGTGAGAGGGTTTCAGTCTGGAAAGGGATGAATGGCAAACACTTCCTTCGTGTGCCTTTAAGAGAAGCGAGGTGTATCTGAGGAGTGGTTCTCATCTTTTAGGAGCAGTCATTCCCCTGGAATGTACTTCTTACCACAACCGTGAGAGAAATTACCAAGCAGTCCACAGATTAGATGTACCAGACATTTCCAATGTGCTTAATTGTGTTAATCACCACATCACCAGCCCTTGACCTTTGGACTGTCCCTAGCGGCTACCCAGATTTATTTACAAATGACTTCCTTGCCCGTTTTTAAATAAGTTAATGGGCATCTTCTAACAGTCACTTTTTAAAATTCCTAACCCTCAGTAACCATCAGCAAATGGGCAATCGCAAACTGCTTCCCTTAGATAAACATCTAGGATACAGGCAAAAGGGTCATGAGGGATGCTCTCCCATTATATGATTGTGGGCTCCTGCATGCCTGCACATGGTACATTTGTATGAGAAAGAAAAAGTGAGAAAAAGCATGATGAAATCGGAATCATTTTCATAGACGGCTTAACACCTAGTGAACACTGTGTTTTCATGCACATACTTAAACTCAGGTGTAAGTGACATCAGGATTCCCTTACCTTCTATTGCTGATAGGAGAACCCGGGAATGATCATATGCGATTACATTTGCATATCTATTCTTTGGTTTGTTTACTTCCAAGTTTGAATGTTCCCAGGTGAACTGCTGGCCAGGGTCAATTGACTTGAAAAGAAAAACAGCACACACATAAAATCAATACTGAGTAACAATGGATTATAAGCATTTATCACAAGTAACACACATGGATTTAACAAGAAAACTTCAAAGCCACACTTCATCAAGAGGTTCCTAGCTGTGAAGCTGAACACTAATATAACCAGAATAACATAAAATGGTTAATCATAGTAAAAAAAAACAAAACAAAACAGTGATTGTTACCAACATTGATTCAAATGAAAAAAAAAATCAATATAGATGTTCTGTTAATATTGAAAAGGCAGATTTTACTATTATTATTATTTTAGTTTTCCATTTTTTCTTTCTGCTGTTGTAGTTTATAAGTTACCTTGGTTCAGTATTCCTTCCAGTTCTGTGAACATTATCTTGTTTACGCTCCCCTCTTCTTTCCTATCTGGATCTAACCTCAATTTTTATTTATTTTTTAAATTTTTTTAAAATTAATTAATTTATTTAGAGAGAAAGAGAGAAGACAGGAGAGACAGAAACATCGATGTGAGAGAGAAACATGGATCAGCTGCCTCCTGCATGCCCCCTGCTGGTGATCGAGCCCGCAACTCAGGCATATGCTCTGAGTGGGAATCCAACCAGGACCTCTCAGTCCGTGGGGTGATGCTCAATCCACTGAGCCACATTGCCCTAACCTCAATTTTTAAATTGACTGGTTTTTCGCCAGCTTCACTGGACACAGGCTCTACTGTTCATTCTTCACCGACAGGCTTACGTCTTGATGGAAACTCAAAATTTTGTCTATTTCTCCATAATACATTATGACCAGTGTCACAAGGCAATTTGTACAATCTGAACAGTAAAGGGAAGTCGGGTAAATGTTAAAATCATGTTTGTCAGAATATTAATTTATAACCCAATGCAGATAGGGTTTAATTGCTTTTCTATTTATATGATGTTTTCTATTTATCAGTATGTGTCATGTTTAAAAAGCTTGCTTCATTTTATTCTTTATTTTAAACTTATTTGTTCTGATTTTTAATGCCTTTCCTTAATGCCTTAGTTCAACCAGTTATTCAATAATCTAAAATAAATATTGCAAATATAAAATAATATATAATTTTTTATACTTAAATAGAACCATTATTTTGAAACTTAATCTATTTTTTTTGTTTTGTTTTGTTTTTTATCCTCACCCGAGGACATTTTTCCATTTTTTGTTCAGATAGAGTAGGAGGGAGAGAGAGGAAGAGAGAAAGAGAAACATCGACGTGAAAGGGACACATCGAGTGGCTGCCACCCGCACGACCAACCAGGGCCGGGGACAAACTGCAACCGAGGTATGTGCCCTTAGCGGGAACTGAACCCGGAACTCTCTGTACCACAGGCCAACGCTCCAACCGCTGAGCCAAACCGGCCAGGGCCCATGTTTTGATTATAAAATCTAGGGAGACTTTATTTTCCTGCAATGTTATGGAAATCAAAACTTTTTTTTTTTTTTTATCATAGGACACTTTTTTAATACTTATAATTTAGTGTTGTGTAGAAACATGAATTCAGTAATTACATAAACAAGGTTTTAAATGATCAAAATCAAGTTTTCAGAAACAATGATAAATTAGTTTTATGTACAGGTGACTTTTTAAAAAAAGTAAAGATATTATGTTAATAGAATTGTTAGCAGTAATTTTTTATGCTGAATATCTTCCATTATTTTATGTGTATATGTAAAACATATCCAATGGCTGTTACAATATTAAAGATGCATACATTTTGTGTTAAAGGGACAGAGTTCAGCATGACAATAAAACTCACCAGTGTAAAAAGTCAAGCCTGCTAACAGTCATGAATAGCCTCTAAACATACTAAAATTCTCAGCAGTCTAGATTGCAGCCTCTAATTTACTAAGGATTTAAACCCCCTTTCCTTTTTCAGACTTTGCTAATCTATATATAAACTAGTCGATCGTTAAATAGCATTCAGCAAAAAAATTATCCATGCCTTAGAGTCTAAAGAAGAGTGTAATTTGGGGTCTCTCCAGTTGCTTGTTCCAAGGAAACTTGTCATCTCCTCTGCAGAATGTACTCTCCAAGTATTCCAGGAGCTAAAGGGAGCAGCATTCAAATGACTGGGTGGAAGCCTTCAAGTCAACCATGAACTTGCACACAAAACAGTACAGCTCCATTCAGTGACCAAGAGCTGACTCAAACATTTCTCAGATCAGTCCCCAGTGCACCATTCCACTGTCACTCCCCAGGCCCAGTCCTTTAGTGTTTGCTGTCTGATTGGGATCCGTCCTCCACTCCCTCACTGCAGTCCACTCTTCACACCAAAGTAGTCTTTGTTAAGCTCCGCCCTGGGCAGGTTAGGTCCCTGTTTAAGACCGTTGCTGGCTCTGGGTGACCTACAGCCTAAATTGTGAAGTTCTCAGCGACAGTCCTTCCTATACATTTTTAGTTACAAAGAATGGTTTGACAAATGCTTTCTTTTTAATGAACTGAATGGATACATACATGTTGTTGAGAACAGTTCGTAAAGAGAAATCATGGACTAATCCCTCCACATGTAACATGCGAGCTAGAGAACAGATTATGGAAACTGCATTGCTGTGTATTCACTTTAATCCTTTAACACTAGTTATCACGTGGCTCAGTGATTAAATGTGACCCTGAATTACAAGTGCCACTGATACTGCACTGATGAGCATTACTGAGTACGTAAGCTTCTTACACCTTATTCTCTAAAATAATGCCAAGAAGCTCCTAAGCTCGGAGGTGCAGTCCTTGGGTGGAAGATGTTACTCTTTCTGATGGCCTTGTTACTCAGGCTATGATCACTCTCACATGTGTAAAATGGCCTACAATTAATTAGACTAATCAAAGTGCATCTATCAACTCAAAGACACTGTTAATTCGTATCCATTCCCAGCCCTGCAGCATATTCTCAGCCGTCAGCATGATTTGATGCCTACATCAAAGAGTCTGTGATAGTCGATGTAAGTGGAGCCTCTTAATCTAGGGCCAGAAGGGCCATTCCGGAGGCACTGCCCTGTACACGGTTTTCTAAGTCTCTGGACTAGTTCAAACCACAAATGTTTTACAAACCCATGGTTATAACATCCACAGGAAAGCAGACACCCTGATTACAAAGACTAATGCTTATGGACTCTCTACCTGAAGACAGAATCAGCAACCAATCCCGTATAGCCAAGTGTGGTTCAGCCTGCCAGTATCAATAGGAACTCCTCCTCCTTCTCATGTATGTATTCCTTTCCTTTTCTGATGAGAAGCCCTTGCCTTACACTGTAATGGGAATGCCCATTCGAGTTTCTGTCTGAATCTGTGCACCCCAAATTGTAATTCTTTGATCCCAAAGAAATGCTTGTTACCTCTCATTCTGGCTTTTTCATTTTAGGTTAAGGGTTTAAAAACGGGTAATTGAAACATGAGTTGCACATCATATATGTTAATATGCTTATGCTTAAAATACGACACATGAGAAGACCTGTAAGTAACAGGATAGTTGTACTAATAGCTGCCAGGTCATTATGCTTTACATGCTGTAGACTGTTTAATTTTCCCAAATGTGATGAGGTAGGTGGTGGTGTTTCTCTATTTTGCAGACAAGGAAATTGAAGTGAATAAAGATTAATTCAATAAATCTTACTGAAGGCCTTCACAGTGGCAAGGAACCGTGCTATTTGGTGGCCAAGTAATTGCTCACACATCATACGTTGACCCTCAAGCCCAGGTCTGTGTGATTTCAAAGCCCAGCTGATGACTAATAACTGGGAATCACTAAGCCATGATCCTACTTAACGACTGAAAGGGTCACTGTGAAATGGAGAAGCCCCATATGTGAAACACACCCAAACATAACTATCCTTTATCTTGCCACTCCAAATGCTATTTCTTCCCAACTGATCGTCCTGTGTCATTCTGGGGCCGTTACATAAGAAATCAAGTATTAAAAATGAGGTTGGCTTCACACGGATGATAAAACAGATGGGATGCAGCTTACATTTATACTCGTTTTACACGGATCAAACAAACATTGATTAAATAATGCTGACTTGTCTTTGTGCAGCCCACATTCATCCATCTGTATCTATCCATCTGACTGAACACTTAACAATACACAGCACAGGTCATCATTCTGGAGCTTGTCAGAATGCTGAGAGGAGTAAACTCAGTCAAGAAACATGAACTAACTAGTAGGTCAAGTATAAGATCTTTTATAGTCAGGAAAAAAAACAAACTGGTTGAACAAAACCAAATTTCAATTACCCATGTTAATGAGGCAAAGATATCATGGATGAGTAAGACCCTAATTCTCAAAATCCACTTTCTAGGCTTTTCTTAGTGCTGGTGAGGACACAGTTGCTTTGCCTCTCTGTTTTCTGGTTTTTCTCGCTGATGCCCTCTTAAGGAAGAATAACATGAGCACCATGGAGAAAGAACGGAGGCCTAGAGTGACACAGAAATTGATTTCCACTTTGACATTATATTTCTTGGCTGAGCCATCATGACTACATGGTCTTCCTGTCATAAAATAAAATGAGGCCACCCCAATATTATTAAAAAATTTTTAAATGAACCCCCTTGTTCCTAATGGAGTCAACTTCCTCCTGCCGTTGGTATTTGGTGTTCCCAAGCTTGACTCTCAGGTCCTCTGCTCATCCTTCTGGCTCTGTTCATCCAAATAATTTCCGGCAGGATACTCCCTCCTTCCCAGCACAGTGCCCAGTACTCGAGCAGGCATCTGGGCCAGGTCTTCTTTAGCCTCCACTGAAGGGAATTTTATGAGTTGGAAATAGAGCAAACTAGATATTTTTTCAACCGAAAGTTGATTAATAACTTTTTAGAAAAAAATGAAATTTATATATTACACGGTCACAGAATTCATAAACAAGAATGATATTGATCAGATATACCTTTGTTTTTCCAATCAACAAGGCCCTTGAAAGGCAGCTACTGGATGAACACTACGCAGCATCTGAAACTTACCAAGATGCTAGACCATTACGAGATGCTTCT